CTCTAAGTGGGTTGATCTTGCCATCATGTTTGGAATGATTGTTGTTTATCGGGTTCTATTCTTGGTCATCATTAAGGTCAAGGAGCAGTCAAAACCTACTCTTCCTACCATAAACTAATGGATCCCGAGCAAAAACATTATGTAAAACCAATATGTTTGAACTCTAAATAATGTTCTATGTAAATCATACGGGATATGCCAATATCATGAAAAAGAAACGTCAAGTCAAATGTACCTTAAAATATCATACTTGTACTTTGTGTGCTATATTAAATTTGTAATGACACAGCAACAATTTCTCAAGTTCTACAATAGTGAAGGCAAATTCATATCTATATTTGTTGGAAGCATCTAAATAAAAAGATAATGTATATTTAGAAAGTAGCATGTTTCATTATGTTATGATTGTTACCACCGCAGTGATATCTATGAGACATAGGGAAATTTTGATCAACCTGGTAATATATGCACAACTTCCCAAGCTGTTATGACCAATTCATCGAAGGCCTTCCACGCCCCCAGCCTCTAGTTCCCTTCCCCTTGCCATATCCCTATATACAATTGATGAACAAAATATTGAGTTGAACAGTCTCAGTATCTCTTAACTTAGTAAAGAGAATTTCGGACAAGGCAAACATAGCATGCATTCTAAGAAAATTTCTAACTAACCATATTCCAATGGATTGAGCAGTCACGAAACTATAAATGTAACACTAAGCATTCGTAATATCAAGCATAAATCATTTTTCTTAACATAAATACTTAGTCGCGTATACATATTTACATAATATCTCCAACTATTTGAAATCCACTAAGAGTTACAAATTTCAAAAGGCAACTAAGAAGAAACTATTTTTGCTTGGATATATCCTCACTTGAGTTCTTCACATTGGTTGCAGTAACAATAAACTTAAATAATGAGATATAAAACGTCAATGAGAAATTCTTTAATTAAGTACTTACAATTAGTCAGCACTATTAGTGTGTTTGTATTATTCCTCCCTATAGGCCACAGAAACAACATCTTCAATAGTATTGTCATTTAACATAGTCCCTTGAGTTAATAGACGTTGTTTCTCCTGAAGTAGTTCTCCAAGACACGTCTAAATAAGGAGGTGGAGATCGATTCTCCAGTGCAACACATACAACTTCAAATTTGATTGAAATTTCTTTAGAAATTGATCCCGCTTACTGACTGCATAGACAGATTGAACGACACTTAGCGCGGCCTGTAAAATAGCTGAATGTTTAGCTCACAAATTAAGGAACCCGAAATAATAGTATTGAACAGAAAGGTTTCTTTGACAATAATTAGCTATGTCAAGCTACAACTAAAATCTTTTAGCTATGTCTACCACATGCCTTTAGCAGTAGAATAGGAACACATATTGTTTACATGTGAGGTTCAATGGAATCGAAAATCCAAGATATAATTTGGGCAACATTGTCTTCCATGCCTCCAGTGCAGTTTTCTCTCAGTTGTACATGTTGAAGTACCGTCTACATCACCCTACACACCTTTTCCTTTCACGTACACCTTAAACTGGAACCAGAACAAGATCACACAGTGCTGTTGTACAAAGAACAAAGAGTAACATTCACTACTGTTGCAGTAGTGGCGTACTATTATGTTTTTTAAAACAAGATCAGAGGACGGTTCAAGAGCTCTTGATACGATGTCAAAATGAATTTTGTCCTTGATGCCTTCTCTCATTCTCCATTCCTCCATATATAGTACTGACTCAACAATAACTACGGTTAATGACATAATCATCACTACTAATTACAAATATCATAGTCTTAAAAAGCAGACCGGTCTAATCGATCCATCTAATAACCAGACACATAACCAGATCAGTCTAATCCGTCTATCCAAGAACCAGAAACATAACCAGTCCGATCAGGCATATGTATCGAAATCAAACAGAAAATTATATACAATTAGTAATTTCTTAATTTATACAAAATATAATAGGAAACTAATAATAACAACAGATTTTCTTATTAATGTATTTATCTATTGTGTTGAAAAACTTCCGTCACACTGCAATAATGTGTTATTGTATGATCAGAAACTTATCCAAAAATAATCATTTATAATTGATTCTAAATTATACAAAATATAATAGGAAACTATAACGATATATTCCCTATTGACTATGCATTTATCTATTTAACTATTTGGTGGAACAACTTCCTTCACAATACTACTCGCTCAATGATCTCTCTCATTTAACAACTTCCTTCATAATCATGTAAAGTATTGTGAAGGAAGTTTAACAGCTGGTGGAACTTTATACTACTCGCTCAACTTCAATTTCCAAACTCAATGTCTATAGCAGAGAAGAGACAGGCAGATATCACACTCAGAGAAATGGGCCTGCAAGATGCTATTAACACAAGGGTTGGAGGGTATGGTTCTAAAGGCCTAAGTGGAGGGCAAAAGAGGAGACTAAGCATTTGCATAGAGATGCTAACACACCCTAGACTTCTTTTCCTTGATGAACCAACTAGTGGACTCGATAGTGAGGCTTCCTACTATGTTATGAGTAGAATTGCAAGTTTACGTTTAAGGGATGGTATCTAAAGGACAGTTGTTGCATCCATCCATCAGCCTAGTAGTGAAGTTTTTGAACTTTTTGATGACCTCTGTCTTCTTTCCTCTGGAGAGACAGTCTATTTTGGTCCAGCTTCTGAAGCAAATCAGGTTAGGAACTAAAACCTTTGTGGCACATATTGATTTCAAGTTAACAAAATACATATATGGTGACACTTGATTCAATGCAGTTTTTTGCTTCAAATGGTTTCCCTTGCCCAACTCTCTATAATCCTTCTGATCACTACTTACGGATCATAAACAAAGATTTTGAACAGGTATTATGCAAACCCTGAGTCTGAATAGTGTATTTAAAAACATTGGGAACTTTAAAGGTATTATACACTACAATATAACAAAATAGAATTAGCTAACAAAATTAAGTACTGAAAAGATAAAATCAATCTCTAATTTCTATCACCAGACTTTAGCAGAGTTGAAGATCGGTCTCATTTTTTCCTTCTCTAAATTTCATCGCTAAATTAATTTGTATATATATATACACAAAATCGAAGATCCTCTAGATTAGATGACACAAAACAGTTGAAAATCTGAAACATAATGGATTAATCTACTTCATTTTTAGGACACTGAAGAAGGCTTTGGTAAAGGAGTTATTACTGAAGAAGCAAATCGTATCCTTGTAAATTCTTATAAAGCGTCGAAATGAAAAGTCAAGTTCAGATTGAAGTGACAAAAATAAGTAAATGCGTAAGTATCATAGTACACTCTTAAATTAGACCTGGACTAGAAAAACACATAATACAACATACTATTCAAAACCAACAATGAGCACAAGTTTTACTGTAGATCACTTTGGTAGATGGCTCGGTGTGAATCACAACCTGAAAACCATTTGAAACTTCATGGACGACAAACGTCATATTCTGTAAATAGAGATTCTTGTCTTCTTATCCCTGTGACTAAGATAATGACTTGATCAGAATAGAGATTCAAACTCTCCGAAACTTCACTCAACTCTTGAACAACAACAACCCACAGAACCTCTCACAACATCCCAGCTCAAAACCCTTGTTCTCAACAACTACACCAATGCCACCTTCACTAACCTCATCCAAAACGTCGTCACTTCACCCGCCGTCCTTTTCACAGCCTCCCTAACATCTCCACCACACCCTTTCACCCCCACCCAGACCGCTTTTTCAACATCGATGTCTTGGCTCAACAGCTTCGCCAAAACCGCTTCGATGTCGCATCCTGTTGCATTTCACTCAAATCCTCCGCTTATCCCTTGGTTTTGCCCAATTTGAAACTCAAGGTGGTCATTGAAGCCCTTAGGATGGTTTTGGAAGCTGTGTACGACGGACGGTTCGTCACGTTTTCCTACGGTGGACGCGTTGGTATGGGAAGACACACTGCTATAAGGTACTTAAAAAACACTGTTCAACATCGATGTCTTGGCTCAACAGCTTCGCCAACATTGCCTTTCATATATTTTCTTTAAAAAAAAATAGAAGAGAATAACACATTAGACATACTTATGTTCTTATAGAAGAATGTGCATTTGACTTGAATGATGATACAATTTCTGAGTATAATCAAATGAATGCAAAGAATGAGTGATATACAATGATCAATAATAATGACCACAAGTCAGGAAAAATAAATAAAACATTAGCACCATTAACGGTGTTTTTCATTAGAACCAGTAACGATGTTAAAGAGCTATAATTTTCAAAGTCAAAAATTATAACAAAGGCAGAGGCAGGGAAAGCAGAAGAGATCCCTGGAAATAATAGTGCGGATAGCTGCTATTTGACTACTTTTTAGACTAATTATATATTTGACTACTTTTGAGACTAATTATATGAATAATCTATAAAACATATATTTAATGTTAAATCAAACAAATAAAAGAGGAATAAAGTTAGTAAATTACTATTACTTAAAAAAACAGAGGCCAATATGAATAAAGAAGAGAAAAGAAAGAAATAAGAAAGGAGAGAAAAGAAAGAAGAACAGAGAAGTAAAAACCAACTTGAGAAGCATTCCAACATTTATTCATTTTAAGGGTAAATCTGAATTTTAGCGTTGAAAACAGTTAAATCTGCTCGGATCGAGAAGAGCGTACATCAAACAGCGGCCGCTATCTCAAACAAAGACACAAACCACTCCTCCATAGCGGAGGGTCACCGCTCTGGGCTGCTATCCCGGGATAGCGCCGGTATCGGTCACTATCGATAACTCTGCTGATGATTGACAAAATTGGAATAGTTGCAACTATTACTTGCATAGCACATTCTATAAGAAAGAAATGAATATGATAATTGTTTAGGGTTGACTGGTGAGAAAAATTAAGACGAAATTCAGTAAAGTATGAATAACTCACTTCATTGATACCAATCAAAGTAGAAAAAAAAGAGTTAGCTGCAACAATTGGCAGTCATTCCACATCAACGCAAGAGGTACAGTCGATGTCTTGAAGAGTGATTCTCCCCAAGTACAAATCATGTACATGATCCGTACAGAGAGGGAAGCACTTTTGGTTCAGGCTTTCATGAATTACGCCCATCCCTTGCACCCATTTTTCATTCTCCAATGGGTTCACATTCGAAGTGTTTTGTAGCAATCGGACCCGATAAAATACTGTTGTTGTCTTGTCACAGAAATGGGCAATACAATGTGTTGGAGACTCGTCAGATGCCAGTCTTACTACAGCCAATGATAAAACCCCATCTACAGGTTTTGGATCCGAAAGATTTCTATCTCCCATCATCTTAACCTCCCTTTCTGTGGGAAAATTCACTTCATCATTTCCGTTCATATCATAGACTTTCAAATCTTTGCTGAAATGCTTTATAGCTTCACGCTTAGTGGACTCATGCTTCTCTGCTAATGTCAAGATGCATGAGAACCTCAAATGATAACTTACAATAGTTTTGACAACCTTGAAGTTGTGGCAACAACAATAGAAGTCAAGCCACCTTCTTGCTATGCCAGCATACCACTTGATAATATCAGCATCCTCAAGAGCGACAAGGAATTCTATAGGCCTTGGACGGCCCATATGATTCGTAAACGCACCCAACCTAACAGCTTTTCTTATGAGTAATACTGGTGCATCGACTTTCGTACAAAACCTAGTCAAATCCTCAACTGTTCCTTTTGAATATCTTTGTTCTTCCTTTTGCGTTTCTCTTCTTTCTTTGTCCTCAATTACTTTCCTGAGTTTTACAGGATTCAAATGTTTATCTACCTGTTCTTGGAAGTTATCATAAGCATCAACAAGCTCAGGAGGTAACTGATTTCTAATGTGTCTCAAGGAAAGGAAATCACCGGCCGTTAAACTCCGATGCCATTCTTGACACTCATCCATACTCCCCAAGAACTCTTGCACTACTTCATCTGCCCAAGATTTAAAAATCTCCCGGACTTCGTTTTCAATACTAAAGTCAAACTTAAACCCGTCACTTAGCTTCATCTTCTTATAAACATGATTAAATATTTTCAACCCTAATATCCTCCTATTCCTCGCTCTAGCATTTTGGAACTCAAATGCTCTAACTTCCTTTTGTCTAAGGTACTTCTTGCGTGCCCGGATCGCTTTCTCTGACATAGGCGGGCGTAAAACCGATGGCGGAACAGCCTGGAATTCCATTCCAAGAAACTCAATCTTCTCTGACACAGCACTATGAATTGCTGTGTTCAATTTATCAACATGCAAACTTAAATCGAGCTCCAAAGTTTTCACAACTTTCATCTTCAAGTCCATAGCCATCAACTTGGAACCCCCTGAAGTAGCAACGAGTATCTCATCCAAATACCTAACAGCGTACACCTTAACTGGCTTGTAAAGGACATCAGATCCCAAACCAGAATCAACCATCTTCGGACTCTGTTGGTTTTCCCGAAGCCGAGTTTCTTGAATCTCTTTATCAAAGCCATCAAAGTAAACATTTATCAAAATTGAAGACAACCCACATTCCTGAGGAAAGCCCTTTCCAAGAGAATTCGTACCTAATTCAATGACCAAAACTTTACACTCAAACAACTTCTTAATCAAATGAATGAAACCATAATCTTTTACTTTACGTTGAATGAAAAAACACAAGTTATCCATATGAGCAGATTCAAATTTGTGAGGCTTAAACCTAACAGTAAACCACCAAGTAGGATTTTGAACAGTGTTTTTTAAATACCTTATAGCAGTGTGTCTTCCCATACCAACGCGTCCACCGTAGGAAAACGTGACGAACCGTCCGTCGTACACAGCTTCCAAAACCATCCTAAGGGCTTCAATGACCACCTTGAGTTTCAAATTGGGCAAAACCAAGGGAGAATCGGAGGATTTGAGTGAAACGCAGCAGGATGCGACATCGAAGCGATTTTGGCGAAGCTGTTGAGCCAAGACATCGATATTGAAAAAGCGGTCTGGGTGGGGGTGAAAGGGTGCGGTGGAGATGTTATGGGAGGCGGTGAAAAGGACGGCGGGTGAAGCGACGACGTTTTGGATGAGGTTAGTGAAGGTGGCATTAGTGTAGTTGTTGAGAACAAGGGTTTTGAGCTGGGATGTTGTGAGAGGTTCTGTGGGTGGTTGTTGTTGTTCAAGAGTTGAGTGAAGTTTCGGAGAGTTTGAATTTGAAGTGATTTTTATGATTCGTCTCAAACGCAGTGATGCCAGCATGCTCAAACGCAGTGATGCCAGCATGAAAGGCGATGTTGGAGTACCAAATTGAACCGGGTTGAAGTGAAGAAGTTGTGTAAAACGCAGTGAACCAAATTGAACCGGTCGCTTGTGTAAAACTGAAAATTAAATGGAATTAAAATAAAAGTAAATAAGTTGTGTAAAACGCAGTGATGCCAGCATGAAAGGCAGTGATAATAAATGGAAAAAGAAGAATAAAATAATAAAATGTGAAAAAATCACAAAAAGAAGCAAACATTGTCCTCCATGAGGATCGAACCTGAAGGATCACAATGGTGTCAACCATATTTTCAAACACTTCACACACAATAAAACTCGAATGAACATGCAAATGAGGGTTTGAAAACCATATACCAAAACAGATGCAACTAAAAACCAATGAGGGTCTGCACACGTTTAAATACAATATAGGATGAGTTTGCAACAGAAAGCTTAATCAAAAGACATTCTGACAAATGCAACAGAAAGCTTAACCAGAACCACCAAACCTACCATCGAAACCTTCCGATCTGAAACCAAAACCAAGGTATGAAGCTTTCCTAGTCATTCTGTCAAAAACATCGAGCAAAAATCTCTTCAACAAAGTTTCACATTCGATTAATTCTACTAAAGAAAAATCCTTCAACGAAGTTTCTGTAGTTTAACATGTTTATCTTGGTGGTGATGTTGCTACCATGGATAAGCAAATGCGTCATCTGGGTATTGTTGTTCCGGATGAATTCACGTTCCCGTATGTGATTAGAGCTTGTGGTGGTTCTGCAGAGGTTTTAGAGGTTAAGAAGATTCATGGATTGTTGTTTAAGCCTGGGTTGGAATTATATGTTTTTGTTGGAAGTGCTTTGGTTAATACTTACTTGAAATTTGGATTGAAATTTGGATTGGTGGCGGATGCACATGAGGTGTTTGAGGAACTGCCTGTTAGAGATTTGGGCAAGACAAATAGCACACTTTCATTTGCAATCCACGCCTCAGAACAACTAATTGGGGTTTGTGCAGCCAAAACACACAACTTTTATTTCAATAATGATGAGCTTCCTATAAATCTGAAACCACCTGACAAAGTTGTTATGCCACCTACTTTAATCAAAAGGACGCAACAACCATTTTGTGACTATGTACCACGGCTGGAGAAATCTCCGTTGGTAATAGTGACTCTGTCATGGGTCGAGTCGTCCTCGCCAAAACCAATATATTGGAGCTCTATAATTGCCTTTGAGACGAGTATCACCCTTCTTGAGTTCAACATTGTGGTGCCTATTTCGAGAATTCTTAATGAAGGTGCACATGGTCATTCCAATGTCAAGGAAGGAATAGTTGTGGGAAGACGTTGTGCAATGTTTAAAAATCACCATATAGACGGCAACAAAGAGATGATAGATATTGGAACCATGAACATAGTTGGTTCTTTCACCTCTTGCTACTATTAGAATATTAATAGTAATTCATACTTATTTAGTTGTACTATTTTCTTAGCCCCTAAGTTTGTTAGAGGGTATTTTAGTATTTTATCTTATTCTAGTAACCCTAGTTTTAGCTTATAAATAGGGTGACAATCATTGTAACTTTTATCATGTTTTTGTAGCCGTCATTCTTAATAGAATATTTCCTTTGTTCATCATTTATTCACCTTTGCACCAACAATTGGTATCTAGAGCTCCGGTTCGGATTCATTGGGAAACACGGGAAACACGAGTGAACGTGAGGTCTTGTGTGTTTGATTTTGATTCTTAGATTCGTGTTGAATCTTGAACAAAATCTGATCAGAATTTTATTCTGTGGGTTGGAAAACACTGTGTGAGAAATCTGAGTGTATTGTGCAAGGTGAAGATGAACGGAAACGGCAACATGAACACCAAGCTTCCAGTATTTGATGGTAAAAACTGGAATCGTTGGATGATCCAAATGCGTGTACTGTTTGGTGCTCAAGATGTTTTAGATCTTGTCACTGATGGTTATGTTCCGGTAGCAGCAGATGCAACGGATGAACAGAAAAACGCGCAGAAGGAACTAAGGAAGAAGGATCATAAAGCATTATTCTTTATTCATCAATGTGTTGATGTAAATGTGTTTGAGAAGATTGCAGATTCAACGACAGCAAAGGCTGCGTGGGACACACTGGTTAGATGTTATGGTGGTGACGCATCAGTGAAGAAGGTGAAGCTTCAGTCCTTGAGAAAGCAATATGAGAATCTCAACATGAAGAATAATGAGAAAGTTTCTGAATACATCTCCAGAGTGATTCTGATCACTAATGAGATGAAGGCGTGTGGAGAAACTCTTTCTGAAGAAACGATCATGGAGAAGGTATTGAGATCCCTTACCTCTCAATTTGATTACATTGTGGTAGCAATAGAACATTCCAAAGATCTGAGTACCATGAGAATTGAAGAGCTGCAGAGCAGTTTAGAAGCGCAAGAGTTGCGTTTGACTGAGAGAACTTCTGAAAGGGAAGTAGAGCAGCAGGCTCTGAAAGCAACTTTTGATAGGAGGTATCAGAAGCAGTCAGAAGCCAAAAGAAGATCTGATGGTGGTCAGAAGTCAGAAAGCTCAATCTCTGATAGGCAAAAGAATGCTCAGAAGGGAAAAGAGAAGTATGACAAGAAGAAGATTCAATGTTACTGTTGTAAGAAGTTTGGTCACTTTGCTAGAGATTGTTGGTCAAACAAGGAGAAGAAATCAGAAGAAGCAAATATAGCCAGAAGTTCTGATGACGAATCTGTGCTATTGATGGCCTCTGAATCTGATGATATGGATCTGACAGACTGGTGGTATATGGACACTGGCTGTTCAAATCATCTTACTGGAAATAAGAAATGGCTGGTTGACTTTGACTCTGAAAAGAGGACAAAGATCAGATATGCTGATGACAAATATCTTAATGCAGAAGGTATGGGAAATGTCAGAGTGACTCTGAACAATGGGAAAACAACATTGATTCAGAACGTGTGGTATGTACCTGGCATCAGAAGCAATCTGATGAGTGTGGGACAATTAATTAAGAAAGGTTTTTCAGTTACCATGAAGGACAATCTTCTGAAGCTGTATGACTACAATCAAAAGTTGATTATGGAGTCAGAACAGGGAAGGAATAGAACATTCAAGGTGAATGTCAGAACTGCAGACTCAGAATGTCTTAGTGCAACATGTGCTGAAAAGGAGAGTGAGCTGTGGCACAGAAGATTTGGTCATTTGAATTTCAGAAGCCTAAAACATCTGAATTCAAAGAAGCTGGTACATGGAATTCCTGCAATTAAGAAGCCTGAAAAGTCATGCAAAGTTTGCATGGAAGGAAAACAACCACGTTTGCCATTTGCGTCAGAAGTTGCTCCAAGAGCAAAACATGCCTTGGGAGTTGTACATTCTGATGTGTGTGGTCCATTTCCAGTAGCATCAATTGGAGGGAATAAATACTTTGTGTTATTTGTTGATGAATTCACAAGAATGACATGGGTATCCCTTATTAAGTTCAAACATGAGGTGTTTGATGAATTCAAGAAATTCAGAATGAAGGCTGAGAATCAGAGTGGTCAGAAGTTGAAGATTCTTAGAACTGATGGTGGAAGTGAGTATAACTCCAAAGAGTTCCAGAAGTTCTGTGAGGAGAATGGAATTGAGCATGAGGTTACTACTCCTTATACCCCTCAACACAATGGTCTTGCTGAAAGAAGAAACCGTACTTTGCTTGATATGGTGAGAAGCATGCTAAAGGAGAAGAAGCTTCCTCAGAAGCTCTAGGGAGAAGCTGTTGCCACTGCAACGTATGTACTCAACAGATGTCCTACGAAAAAGTTGAAGGAAATAGTTCTAATACAGAAGTGGACTGGAGATAAGCAAAGTGTTAGTCATCTGAAGGTGTTTGGTTCTGTTTGCTATAAACATGTTCCAGAATCCAGAAGACAGAAGCTGGATGATAGAAGCAAAGTGATGATTCTGATAGGGTACCACAGTACAGGTGCATACAAGCTCTATTGTCCAGAAACCAATAAAATTGAATTCAGCAGAGATGTGATTGTGAAGGAATCAGAAGTTTGAAATTTGGATAAGTCTCAATCTGATTCTGATGCTAGAACTTCTGAAGAAAGGTCAGAGTTAAGAATTTCTGAAGTTGAAGTAAACTCTGACGTTGATTCTGACTCTGATAATGATTCTGACTCTGGAGAAGACTCAGAAGATGAAGGTGACTCTGATGATCCAGACTCTGATGGTAATCCAGATTCTGGTGGAAATTCAGACTCTGAAGATGGCCAAAACTCTGAAAATATGCTAGATCTTGAAGATGGTCAAAGCTCTAGAGGAAGTCAACCATCTGAAGCTGGAAACTCTGAAGCTTAAAACTCTGAACAAGTTCAGAGACCACAAAGAATCAGAAGCGTTCCTAGAAGATTTGCAGAATTTGACATGCTGCAAGACACTGAAGTAGACTCTGAAGGAGGAGTTATTCAGTGTGCCATGTTAGTAGACTCTGAACCTATAAGTACAGAGGAGGCTCTTAAGCAGAAGCTCTGGCTGAAGGTGATGGGCTAAAGACGTGTCTACTTATGCGTCTAGCGGTATCTTACTGCAAGTGCACAGCCTATCGAAGTAATATTTAAGATTATCGATCCACAGGGATTCTATGGTTACTTAGTGCTAGATGAACTTCTAGTTTAGCTAAGGCGAATGGTTGTCACGATTTTTTGTTGATTTTTAAGACTATTAAAGGCGGAATTAAATTTAAGTTTTAATAAAGTAATACTAAGGCGGTCGGTATGTAATTATACTAACTTAGGTGGGTCAATCTAACCTAGGCTTATAAAGGTGTTCACTTAATCTATTCGGTAGAGATTACCAGTTTAAATACCCTCAACTCACACTCTCGTGGTCTTATATCAGATCTTATCCCTAAAGCCCTATGCCTGCTCTCGCTAGCCCATAAGTGTTTAGAGGTAATTTTTGGAAACTAAGTAATTCTAATTTATCTTAAAGCGCTCTCGCTGTGT